GTGTTTGTTGTGGGTCCTACAGTGTGCTGGAGCCTGTAACCGTGTCTTGTCCCCTTCCACTCCCAAGGTCACCTTGGATCTCCAGAACAGCACGGAGAAGTTTGGTGGGTTTCTGCGCTCTGCCTTGGATGTTCTTTCACAGATTCTGGAGCTGGCAACCCTGCAAGACATCGGGAAGGTTTGTCCTGTCCTGTCTTCCAGTACACTTGGCATGCATCTGCCAGGGGCCTTACTGCAAAGGTGACATGGCTAAGGACTTTGATAGGTCTCACGCACACAGAGAAGAAGTTCTCTCCTGAGGCACGTGGAACGTCCTGTAGGTCATGGGTGTACTGCACAGGTTTTTCTTTTAGTCATTATCTCTCTGTTGTCCAGTCCATTCCGACACATAATGACCCTTCCTTGGGTTTCTCAGGCAGTGTGTCTACGGAAGTAGGTTGCCCAATCTTCCTTCCAAGGAGTGGCTGGTGGGTTTGAACCACTAGGCTTTTAGTTAGCAGGCTTAGTGCTACACTTAGCACTACACCACTACACCACTAGAGCTCCCTAGGAGCACCACATTGCTAACCAGAAGGTCAACGGTTCATACCCCCCAGCTGCTCTGTGGAAGGAAGACAGGATGATCTACTTCCATAAAGATTTACAGCCTTGGAAACCCAACAGGGGTCGCTGTGAGTCAGAAATGACTCGATGGCAGTGAGTTTGGTTTTGGTTTTTATGTCTTTTGCTTCACGTTGTTTGGTTTCTTTTTCTGTGTCTTTAATTCACTAATCTTTTCTTCTTTTGCAGTTACTCTTACCCAGTGTGTTTCTCGCCACCAAAATTGTCATTGTCATGTCTGGGAGCTTGATTTGGGTGCTTTTTTATGTCTTTGGTTAACTTTTTGAGCATACAGGACAGTTAGGAATAGCTGTTGTTAGGGTGTTAATTTCCTCGTCTCTGTTGGTTCTGAGTCACGTGTAATTGATTGCTTGTACTCTGCACTGTGCGTGGTCATTTCCTGCCTGTGTGCCTGGTCGCCTTTAAGTGGATAGCAGGCATTGTGAATTCCACCTTTTCAGGTGGTAGGTGTTGTGCTGAAAGTCTGCACAGCATCTGAGGTTCCCGTTACTTTACGCAGGTTTTGTTCAATGGCACTGGTCCTGGTTCTCAGTGTGTCAGTGTGCTCATTATTCCATGCTGCTTGTCCTGTTTCCCTTAATCTGGCTTCCCTGCCCCTCCCCCATCGTCTTTGCGTTAGCGATGACTGATCTCGTGTGGATGACTGTTGACAGAACTCAGCACTCACGGGTGAGACTGTTTAGTGTATGAGCCACTCTGTGACTTAGCTGGAAGGTGATTTCTGGGAGCGTATCTCAGCATGATGGTCTCGGGGTTCATGTGGTCTCTGTTGGTCCAGGAAGTGTGGCCGGTTTTGGGA